CCTTCTCTTTCTGTATTTTGGGATCTTGGAACCGCAGCTTAACTTTGCTCTAATTAGTGTCCCAAGCAATACAAGAAGCTGGTCAGAAGCTTTGTGTTCGCGAGTGCATGAGTCCTTGTCCTGTGGTGGCTTTGACTCTAAGGTAACGGCTCTCCACATGTGGTCCAGGTAGCCCTGGGGGTCCTTGAGACCCTTCCAGGGGGTACTTAAAGTCAACATTATTTTTTTATTTATTTTTTATTGTTTAAAGTATTACAGACAGTAGTACATATGTCTCCTTTCCGCGCCCCCTCCTCCCCATTGAAAGTCAACATTATTTTGATGGGCCCGGCTAGCATGGCTCAGTGGTTGAGCATTGACCTATGAACCAGGAGGTCACAGTTTGATTCCCGATTAGGGCACATGCCCGGATTATGGGCTCGATCCCCAGTGTGGGGCGTGCAGGAGGCAGCCAATCAATGATTCGCTGATGTTTCTATCTCCCTCTCTCTCCCCTTTCAGCTATGAAATCAATAAAACTATATTTTAAGAAATTATTTTGATGTTACTACTAAACCATTACTTTCGTTTTTCACTCTCATTCTCTCCTGAGTGTGCAGTAGTTTTCCACAGGCTGCATGACTTGTGACAGGATGAACAAAGAACCCAAGATTTGCAAAAGCAAAACACGATGCCACTCTTCTCACTAAATATTTATGTTGAGGAAGCCATAGTTCTTTTTCATAAAACTATATCAACACATAATGAGTTTATCATGTTTTAAAAGCTCTTTGGGGGGACTTAATAGCTTTTAAGAATATAAAGGAGTCCTAAGATCAAAAAATGTAATAACCATTGCACTAGGGGTAACCGACCTTCCTGGGCTCTTTCATTGGGGATTTCCAACTACCAGGATCTGTCAGTTTTTCTGTGGGGTTGGTTGTTTTCCCCGTGGAGGAATTACCCGCTCTCGTGCTTAGAAACTTCCAGGGGCTTCTCACTACACTTAAAACTTTTCAGCAAGGCCTGCAACATCTGGCGTTTGCTTATTTCACTATCGCAGTCCTCTGTAACTCCCTCATCCATTCATTGTGCTTTGGCCGCATTCATCTTCATTCAGCTCCTTCAAAGGGCCAAGTTCCAGCCTGCCTCAAGGTCTTTGCATGGTAGGGAAATGGCTCCACCTGGCCACCCTACACATCTCCGCACCGCCCACTGGAACCCCAGCTGAATGGAGGTCTTGGCAGAACACCTGTGACCCGCCTGGAACACAAGAGGGCCTCGTGAGGAGCTGCTGCGCGGACATTCCCCCCTCACTTCCCCGTGTACCAGGAAAGTTGCTGTGAGACGTTTCTCATGGCCTCCGGGTTCTCAAAGGGTCTGAGGCTTTCTAAGGAAAAGCCTCTGTCCTCACCCCACTAAGCACATAGTTGCAAACTGTAATACTGCTTAGCTGCCACGGGACCATGGCTTCTCCGCCACAGGAAGTGCTAACATCTGTGCAGCTCTCGCCCAGCCCATCTGTTTGCATGTCGCCCCACACCTGGGCCAATAGGAGCTGGCACCTTTGACTACTCTTCCCTCTTCGGTGTCTGTGTAAGTGACAAACTGTCTGAATCTAAAAGGAGATCCTTGTCTCTTTACTGCCAGATCTATCCGTTGTGCATTAGCTGTGACTGAAATGCATGTGCTGAGGAGGCAGCCGGCGGGCAGGAGCCCGGCTGGTCCGCACCATGTGCAGCAGGGCAGTGCGCTGGGACCCAGGGCCGGTGCGGGCCGCAGGGCACGAGCGCTCGGAGGGGCTGGTGGACCCGGTCTACCCCTGCACCCACGGGGCCCTGCTGAAAGTGGCGCAGATGGTCAGCCTGCTGATCGTCTTCATCTGCGTGAGGAGCTCTCCGTGGATCAGCCAGAGTGCCTACAGATGCTTCAAAGTGGTCACTATTCTGCAACTCGATCATGATCCTCGCCTTCTACCTGGTCCATCTCTACCGTGTGCTCACCTGCACCAGCTGGCCCCTGTCAATCTTCGGCTTCATGGCCACCTTCCTCTGCCTGGCAAGCGTGTGGCTGTCCTACAAGATCTCTTGTGTGACCCAGTCCACAGATGCAGCCGTCTGAGGACACCGCAGCCTCCGGGTGTGGCCCCGCAGGCAGGAGAACCTGCGGGCCGGTGACTTCAGGAGAGACTTCCGAACCTGTGTTTCTGTGCCAAAGCCCTGCCCGGCTGGCGGGCACGAAGGGCCTTCTCCTCCCTCCTGGGCTCCGAGTTGCTCCGGACCTCTCTCTCTGGCCTGTTCTCCTGGGAGAACATTCTCCTCATCCGGGAAAGAAAAGCAGCCGCCAGGGAAATCTGGTCTCTGCCTGCCTCCTGCTTTTCAAACAGCCTCAGGGACTGGTGACCGGACCTCACACAACGGAGAGGTTTCTGGATGCTCCTGCACAAATCCCCCTCCTCGCGGGAGTGGCGCTGCCTTAAGTCTCCCCGTAAAAATCAAGCCCTCTCCTAACTTATCAGCTTGGGCTTCTGCTCTTTCTTCACGTGAGGCCGGCTGTGGAAGAGAAGCACTCAGTGGTCAGCCTGGCCCCCAAAACAAGATCTCAGTCTCCTTTCCCGTGTCTGCCTTCGTGAGCTGTGTGTGTGTGTGGCGGGGGCGGGGGGGGGGGTGGGAGGGGGGGGGGGGTAATAAAATATTGACTTGACAAAAAAAGAAAATAAAGAAATGCATGTGCTGTTCCCTCTTGAATGCTCTCCTCCCACCCCACCCAAACTTTTCCATGTCTCATTTCTTTAGATCTTACCTTAAACATCATCTCCTCCCAGAGGCCTCATTGACCAGCTGGTCCCAAATAGAGCCCTGGTGGCAGACATCGTTGGTTGCAATTCCAACATCCCTTCTTTCCATCCTGTCCCTTGCTAACAAAACACCATTTTGATTTGTTATGGTTTGGGCAGTCATGTGGTTTAGAAGAAGCCAAGCCCTCCCCAATCCCAAAGGTTGACTCTTGATTTGTTAAGTCCCAACAAGGCAATGTCATTCTTTTGCCAATGGTCAGAAGTGGACAGATGATAAAACCCTGCTCAACAGCACATAAGGGGATGTCTGGTGGGTGTCTCTGGGAAACTTTACATAGCTCTTATAAGGGGACCCAAAATGTAATGTGCCCTTTTCCTGCCTTCTGGCCTTTGGTTAACGGGGTGTGAGAACATTAAGCCTGGACCTTCTGCAGTCATCTTGTGACCTTTAGGGGACAATTATGAGGACAAAAGTCACTACGTGAAGATGGCAGAGTTAAAGATGGAAAGACTGCATCATTGATGGCCTTGTTGAGGCACTAAATTAACCAAAACCCCCAAACTTGACACTGTGTGTCGAGCAGTTTCTATGTTCTGAGAATAGAATAAACTTTCAGCTCTCGTAGTTTGCATTCTAGTAGCGAGAGGAAAAAATGTGATTGGTTAGGGCAAACCCATATCACCTGAAGAATGCTGCCTTTGATATCTCTGATTATTTGATTGTGCCAGATGGGGACAAAGAGAAGAGGAGAGAAATACAGGAAAAAGAAGCTGAAAGAATCCAATCCTACTAGAATCCAGAAATGGACCAGGTTTCATAAAAATTTAATATCCATACACCACTTAGTTAGTATCCCAGCTAAGAATGCCAAACCTGAATCTAATCATGAGGAACCATCTGACAAACCCCAAATGAACAAGATCCTTCTTCTTCTTCTTTTTAATGTAATAAAAGACAGGAAGACTGAGGAAATTTTTTGCATTAAAGGAGACTAAAGAGACATGAGAAATGACTGCAGTACCTAATCTTAGATTGTATCCTGTGTGTGTGGGAGGGTTACTATAATGTTCATTATTGGGTCAATGGACAAAAATAGAATGCAGAAGGTAGATGAGAGAAAGAGACAGAGAGGATGAGGAGGGAGGGAAGTAGAGAGGGAAGGAGCAGATGATAAAGCAAATGGAGCAGATTTTTAGCAGTTGATGATTTTGAGTAAAGGATACATGAGTTCTTTGTACTATTCTTGCAACTTTTCCAAATGAGTTTTAAAAACATTCTGTCCATGAGAAGATCTGGACTCTAAGCCAAGCCCCTTTGCTAAATCCATGCTTGACCTTGAATATATTCCTTCCTCTCTCTGTGCCTCCTTTCCTAGTCCAGATGCTTCCTGAGCGCCTTTTAAATATGTTTTTATTGACTTCAGAGAGAGCAAGAGGGAGAAGGAGAGATAGAGAGAGAGAGAGAGAGAGAGAGAGAGAGAGAGAAACATCTATCAGTTGCCTCCTGTACATGCCCTGACCCAGGATGGAGCCTGCAGCCTGGGTATGTGCCCTGACTAGGAATCCAGCTGGGGACCCTTTCGTGCACCAGATGACGCTCAACCAACTGAGCCACACCCGTCAGGGCCTAAGGTTCTTTATGGTTCTGGTAATCAATGTTCCAGGACTCTCAGGACGTTTCCAGGCAGGGCTGTGGAATGAAGATCACCTCTTGTTTTCCTTCAGGGTCTCTTACCCCAACAGTTATTTCACCACAAGTTTCTCCAAGGTGCCCACCCATGCTTCCATCAGCTGTCTATTTTCCCAGCCCAGCCCTGCCACTAGCTGCAGACCTAGCTATTTTTTACAAGGCTCATCTTCCAGGAGGTTCTAGCATCAATAGGCACGTGCATTTATCCCCTAAGAAACTACAGCCCCCAAAAGGCGTAGCGGCAGCCTCACGGCGTTAAACACGAAAGAGAAAAGGCTTTTCAGCGCGGGTCAGCCGTTGCATGGCTTTTTGGGAATTGTAGTTCATCTGCTAAGAGCCCTGAAACCAGGACTAGGCGGAAAGCCACCCTTCCCAGAATGCACAGCGCTATTCCCGACCAATCGGAGGCGCGGACCTTGGAAAGAGGGCGGGGAAGAGGAGGAGCCGCCTGGTGCGTGCGCAGTACGTGTGGCTGGGGAAGCCTTGTGGAGGTCAGAGTAGAAGCAGGTGAGAATGGAGGGGTCCGCCTGTCGTCCGCTTTGGGCAACTCTGCCGCCCCTCCTTGCACTCCCATTTGCACTTGGGGAAAACCGCGTGTATGCGCGGGTCCGCCTCGCGGGAAGCGGGTACGGGGCGAGCCCAGGACGAGCCAGGAGTTGCGTAGAGTAAGGGAGGTGTGTATGGGGGCAGGGTGAGGAATGATCCAGAAGCAGTGAGCAGTGGAAAGGCTGAGTGGTCAGGGCTGGGCGTCCTGGCATTGGGAAAGGGATGTTTAAATGCCCGAGGAGCGGTCGGGGTAGGCTCAGGAGCTCTGGCCCGGAGGGAACGAGGGCGGCTTTGAGGCTGAAGCGGATGGCGGCCGTGGTGCGGAGCGTTGAGAAGTTAAGTGCCGGAGTGGCTTCTATTCGGTCGGGCGCGCTCCCGCCCACCCCGCTCAGCCCACCTGCCCACTTACTCTTCCTTATGTGGTTCCAGAATGTCATCCAGCTGTCGCTTCCATACCAGGTCATTCTTTTTTTTTTTTTTAATATTTTTTTTTATTGATTTTTTACAGAGAGGAAGGGAGAGAGATAGAGAGTTAGAAACATCGATGAGAGAGAAACATCGATCAGCTGCCTCCTGCACATCTCCCACTGGGGAATTGCCCGCAACCCAGGTACATGCCCCTGACCGGAATCGAACCCGGGACCCTTCAGTCCGCAGGCCCACGCTCTATCCACTGAGCCACACCGGTTTCGGCCCAGGTCATTCTTAACACCTACTGTTGAGAAGCCGTATGATGAGGAGCTAAGCTGTGCCTCCTAGAATTCGACCTGTAGGTCCTCATCCTGGTTCTGCCACTAAATAGCTGTGTGATCCTGGGCTCCTCATGTAACCTCACGGTGTGCCTCAGTTTCCTCACCTGTAGTAATCAACGGCATAAGGGTTGGTGTGAGGGTTAAATAAATTGCTGTTAGAAGACCCTATAGAAAGGTTAGCGATTCGCTATTTTTTGCTGTGGGAATCACTGTGTCGCACACTCTTTTGTTACCGGAAAGAGGACCTGACCCTGGGCCAGTCTGCCTAGGACCAGCCCCTACTGTGTGGGTTCTTGACTTGGTGCAGAAAAAATTTCCCAGCATGAGTCCAGGGGACTCTGAGGGAACATTTAGTAAAGCTGGGGACAGTAGAACGAGAAAGGGCTGAGCTGAGAAGAAGCAACAGGAGAGCCAAGGCTGGGCTGCCCCAGCTCTCTGGGAAGGCAGGGAAAAGGGGGGTTGGGATCAGGTTCAGGGGTTAGCCTGGGATGAGGGGCTGCTGCCCATTGCTCCCCTGGTTGCAAGCCTCGTGGGGTCCTCTAGGGTTTAGATTACAGCGGTTCTCAACCTGTGGGTCGCGACCCCTTTGGCGGTCGAACGACCCTTTCACAGGGGTCGCCTAAGACCACCCTGCATATCAGATATTGACATGACGATTCATAACAATAGCAACCTTACAGTTATGAAGTAGCAACGAAAATAGTTTTATGGTTGGGTCACCACATGAGGAGCTGTATTTAAAGGGCCAGAAGGTTGAGAACCACTGGTTTAGAAGATGCATGCCTGTGGGGGAAGAAGAGCAGAAAGGGAATGGCGGGGCTGCTCCCCAGAAGGAGAGCATGCGCTGGGTCCTTCGTCTTGAGGCTTTTATTTCTCTCTTGCAGGCAAGTATCTTCGGGGAGGTATCAGGGGAGGGTTTTAACAGAATATTCATCAGTTTTCTAGGTGTGCTCCGTCAGGGTCGTGGTGTTCACTGATTCGTCAGTGTTGGGGCAGGGGGTCCTTAATCAGTGCGGCTGGTCTTGGTATCACCCACCTGGTTTTGCTGCTTTTCCGGGTCTGGAGCCGAAATACAACTGAGGCCTAGATGTTATTTCTATAACGGTGGCCTTCCGTATCTTGGAAATTGCTCTGTCAGTTTGTTTAGCTACCTACCTCAGTTTCCCTGTTTCACTTGTCCTGGCTTACTGGCCTGGCTCACTTTGAGTTATTTTTCTAAACCAAAATTGCACCGAACCAGCCTCACAGCCTCTCTCGGGGTCTGTTTGTCCGGAAGATGGGAGGGTGGTTTATTGTGGTGCTAAGTTCCCTGTGGGTATCGGGCACATGCCTCAGTCCCATGTGTTAACCAAGTGCTCTAGACCCCTCCTCTTAAGCGGTGGAAAAAGAAAAAGGCAGAGGAGTTGAAGTGCCAGTTTTCCAGGAATGGGGAATAAACCAGCCAGCTGGAGAAGTGAATATCGTGTGGCAGAGAGCGCGCGCTCTGAGGATTTGGGGAGCAAGTTGTTTCATTTGTTTTGTTTTTACCCTCTTAGGTGTGAGTGGGTCCAGCAGAAGGAGACATGGCTGCCAAAGTGTTTGAATCCATTGGCAAATTTGGCCTGGCCTTAGCCGTGGCGGGAGGCGTGGTGAACTCGGCCTTGTATAATGGTGAGGCTCCTTTGCTGGAGGGCTTCTGTTCGTCGCACAGCCCATGGGACACTCCAGGCGGCAGCGCCGCCGAAGGTGAATGTGTTTGTGACCGAGACGGCTCGCTGCCCTCCCACACCACACGGTCACATTGTCGTCAGGGCCCCTGTCCTTCTAGCGAGAGGTTCTCTTGGAGCCGTTCTTGACAAGGAGCCTCCCAGTCTGGTTGCGGGTTGGATGTTTCCAGCTGCGCCGGTTCATTTGAAGGGATGCCGCACCCCCGGAGGCCGCAGCGACGGCCAGGACATCGCTGTCGGGCTGAAGTGGAGATCTCATTTGTTCTCCTCTGCCCGTGGGAAGGCTCAGCAGGAGCCGTAGGCCCGCGGTGACCTTGGGCTGACCAGGAGCTGTGCTCTGCTGCCGCTGGGTCACTGCAGAGAACAGACCTTTGAGGTGCACTGCCTGGCTGTGAACAGGGCGGCAGGGGGTTGAGCTGGCTGTCCTTCCACTTAGCTGGGAGACCTGGTCCAGCAGTGGGATTGAGCTAGTTATCTCTAAGCCCCCCTCCAGCTGTGAAATTCTCTAGCTTCCACTGTTGGCAAGCAGCAGTAGACGGACTCGCCTCTTGTGTGACAGAGGTGATGTCCGACAAGAGGATTCATTTCAGAGTGGAGCTGTTTGGACCAACGATAATGTCCATACAGCAGCGGGTCAGAAAAGCCTGCTTGGCTTACATGGCATAGCTTTACACTCTGACCTTTTTCGTGTGTTGTTTGGTCAGTGTCCGTGTTTTCTTAACCCTCCCCTGAGGATATTTTCTCCATTGATCTTTAGAGCGAGTGGAAGGGAGGGAGAGAGGCAGAGAGACACATTGATTGGTTGCCTCCTGCATGTGCCCCTGGGGCACTGGGGGTTGATCCTGCAACTGAGGTAGGTGCCCTTGACCAGAATTGCACCTGCAACTATTCAGTCCGTGGGCCGATGCTCTAACCACTGACCCACCAGCTAGGGCCACTCTGATCTTTGTGGCCATTCATCCCTGCATAATTATACAGTAATCACCATCACCAATCTCTCAACCAGACAACTCCACAACCCCTCAAAACCTTAGGGGGAAAAAAAGCTTTTGGAAAGAAAGAGGGACACCTGGATTTTAGGGTTCTCCTAGTGGGGGTGCTGCTTCTGGGAACACGAGGTAAAATTGGAACCAGGTTGAACTGATAGCAGTGAAGACTTCGGGGAATTTTAGAAAGAAGTTCGGGAGGTGATTTCTGGACATGTGTTGATGGGAGTTTGGGGATGGGGTGGTTAATCGGAAAATCAGCAGCCAGTTGTTCCAAGGAGAAAGGATGCTGAGGACCTATTAGCAAGGTCCTTGGGGAGACACATGGGACAGGAAGTGATTGCTTAGATTCATAGCTATTAGAAGCCTCTGGAGACCAGCAGTGCGGGAAGATGGGGCAGGAGAGGGGAGACTTAATACTTGAACAGAAAGCCCCGAGACCCTTTCCAGGGCGTGACTTTTGGTGACCGGGTGAGAGGAACTTCCTGACCATCGCTATCCTCGTTCCTAGTGGATGCTGGGCACAGAGCTGTCATCTTCGACCGGTTCCGTGGAGTGCAGGACATCGTGGTGGGGGAAGGGACTCACTTCCTCATCCCTTGGGTACAGAAACCGATTATCTTTGATTGCCGCTCTCGACCCCGTAACGTGCCCGTCATCACTGGTAGCAAAGGTGAGTCTCGCCTGTGGGTTCAGGAGAGGGTGGAAGGGCTGCTGTGGGATCCTCAAGAGGTTGAACTTCACATAAGAATTCCTGGCATCTTTTCCCTGGAGAGTGGTAGCTGGATTCATAGCAAGAAATACGTACTTAAGGTGCGCACACGGACAGCTGCGCACATTTAAAGAAACACACAAAGGTCTGTTTCAAGGGTCACATTGTGACCCAATTGGAAAGAAATCTGAGGCTGCCCTGCTCCCTCCCATTGGCTCTTCTTCCCCAGGACCCCTGGATAAACCCATCGGGCGGCTCTGTTCGCCTCGCAGCTGACTCACCCTTTGCCTGACCTCCCAAGGCCTCTGTGTGCGGCAGCACTGACCTCCCTTTGTTCTCTCACAGGCGGAGGCCCACTCCCCTGGGAGCTGTGTCCTGGTGTCCGACCCGCCACTGGCTATGCAGTGGGAGCCTAAAACGAGTTGTTGTCCTTGTTCCCCCCCATCCTCATAGAGGTGCTCAGGCAGTGAGTGGAGTAGCAGGTGCCAGCTCAGCAGCCACACGTCCACACAGCGAGAGGAGAGGGTCACGTGGATGTCGGGGTCACCCTCGATGCCTTCCTCCGCTGATAGGCACTTCCTGTGACTGTGCCTGGCTTTGTGCTGGGCAGGGGCTGGGGCTGGTTCAGAGATGACTAAAGCAGGGCCCCTAAGGAGCTCTGTCCAGCTAGGGAGATAGAGATGTGCACAGACAGGTAGAGTGTAGTGAGCACCGGAGCCGAGGTTATACTGCGTGTCGGGAGCAGAGAGGAGGGCGGCTAGCCCCCCAGGGGTCGGGCAGGCTCCCATGAGGAGCTTCTATCTGAACTGGGACTTTAGAGTGAGCGGCGTGTCGGGCAGAGGACGGAGGGTAAGTCGGTAGGGCATCATCTGTCCCGTAGCCCCTGGCCAGGGAGAGAAGGGGCCTCCTGTGAGGGCCCGGCTGGCCTGCTGCCACAGAAGAAACCAGAGGTGGGGTGGGTTCATCGAGAAACAACTCTAACTTAAAAGCCTAGGTCTCAGCTCCCCACCTCTTGGGGATTTCTTCTCTGCTGTTTTGCAGTTGTTCTAAGGATACTTCCTGTACCTAGCTTCAGAACTGTTGGGAGGGACTCCAGAGATCAGGGGCTTGTGCATTTCCCACTTCCCTTGCCTGGTTCAACTGTCCCAGGGGTGCTTGGTCCATATGCTTGTTGACTGCGAGCCAGCTGTGACCGTGCGTCAGCTCCGAGCAGGCCTGGCTTGTTAGGGGAAATTGTGTTTCCCTCCTTGGTCCTTTGCCTGGGTATTGAGAGGTGAGCTGTACCAGTAGGTCTGTGGTTCTCAACCTTCTGGCCATTTAAATACATTTCCTCATGTGGTGACCCAACCACACAATTATTTTCGTTGCTACTTCATAACTGTAATGTTGCTACTGTTATGAATCGTAATGTAAATATCTGATATGCAGGATGGTCTTAAGGCGACCCCTGTGAAAGGATCGTTCGACCGCCAAAGGGGTTGCGACCCACAGGTTGAGAACCGCTGCAGTAGGTGATCCTGGCCTCTAACATCTGTTGCGTTTGACCGCGTGTTTGTATGTCTTCTCTGTTCGTTTCCTTCAGCGTGCCTGGAAGTCAGATGAAATCGTCCCTCTTCTTAGAGAACTAAGTTGAGGTTGGCTAAAGCTTAGCGGAGTCGGATAATTAGTAACCAGCAGAGTGGGACTGCGGCCCAGGCCTTTGGACTATTGGTTCCGTCCAAAGTGGACTATTTCTGCTGGGCCCACGGTAACCCCTCCAAAGCATGCTCCTGGCCTGGGTCACGTGCACCAGGCCTTGGAAAGGCCTCGCCCTAGGATTCTTAGCATTGCCCTGTTTCCTTAAAACGTCCCGTGTTCCAGACACCCCATAGCACCTGTTGCTTATATCGGGGGGCATTCAGGACACACGGAAAAGCCGTGGTCACCGGACGCCTTTAAGAGGTTCCTCACTGGTGCTCTGCTGGGTTCTCTACCAAAGACCCCAGACATCTTTGCTCCATGCCCTCTCGGATTAGCAACTCTACTTACAAATTGTAGCCAATTGGGGGTAGGAGGACCCTCGGAGGCCACTGTGAGTTTATTTCTAACGCCAGCATCTCCCCTCCCGCCCGAAGACTTGCAGAACGTCAACATCACCCTGCGCATCCTCTTCCGCCCGGTCGCCAGCCAGCTCCCCCGCATCTTCACCAGCATCGGCGAGGACTACGACGAGCGGGTGCTGCCCTCCATCACCACGGAGATCCTCAAGTCGGTGGTGGTGAGTGGACGGCCTGCGCCCCGCGCTGCGAGGGTGGCCCCCGAGAGGTCACTGAGGGGCCGTGGGGATGTGGCTGGTGGTTTTCTGGTCCCTTTCCCGCTCCCTCACTGTCCTGAGCGGCTGCTCTGCCCTCCCCTGGAACAGGCTCGCTTTGACGCTGGAGAACTCATCACCCAGAGAGAGCTGGTCTCCAGGCAGGTGAGCGACGACCTGACGGAGCGAGCCGCGACCTTCGGGCTCATCCTGGATGACGTGTCCTTGGTAAGGTCCTTGCGGAGCCTGCAGGGAGGGGCCCGGTGCGTGCTGGGGGTGCGTGCTGGGGTGCCTGGCTCCGTTCCTGGGGAGACGCTGTTGGGTCCTGCCTTCCACGTTCCTAGACGTGAGACTTGAAAGCGTGGGAACTTCTTGCCGTGTGAGGCCCTCTCCTCGGGCTTGTTTTCACAAGGCCTCTT